CTTGACCAGAATCGAACCCAGGACCCTTCAGTCCCCAAGCCAACGCTCTATCCATTGAGCCACACCGGTCCCGACGGTATCTTAATTTTTTTGTTGCAATGGTAAATGGGATTGCTTTTTTAGTTTCTCTTTCTGTGAGTTCATTATTGATGTATAAAAAAGCCATAGATTTTTGGGTGTAAATTTTGTATCCTGCTACATTGCCAAGTTCATTTATTAAGTCTACTAGAGGCCCATTGCAGGAAGATTCCTGCAAGAATAGGATTTCCTGTGGCCTGAGCAAAGCAGAGAAGAGAACGAAGGCTGCCACGGCAGGATTCCCTCCCACTGCTGCCTCCCCGCGCTTTCCCTCACACCACCACTGCTGTCCTGTTTCTGCTTTCCCTCCCTCGTCCTTGCACACTGTCTTCAGTCTTAGCTCTGTGCCTGCGTATGCAAATTAACTGCCATATTTGTTGGGTTAATTTGCATATCTGCTCTGATGGGCAGATAGGCATAGCAGAGTGATGGTCAATTTGGATGTTTCTCTTTTATTAGTGTAGATTAGATTTTTGATGGAATCATTAGGGTTTTCTATGTACAATATCATGTATTCTGAGAATAATGACTTCTTTTCCAATTTGGATGCCTTTTATTTCTTCTTGTCTGAACACTATGGCTAGCACTTCCAGTACTATGTTGAATAGGAGTGGTAAAAGTGGTCATCCCTGATTAGTTCCTGTTCTTAAGGTGAAATGATTTTAGTTTTTGCCCATTGAGTATGATGTTGGCTGTAGGTTTGTCATATACGGCTTTTATTATGTTGAGGTATGATCCCTCTATTCCCACTTGGTTGAGAATACAAAAGGATGTTGGATTTTATCAACTGCTTTTTCTGCATTGATTGGTATGATTATGTGATTTTTGTCTTTCAATTTTTTTATGTGATGTATCATATTCATTGATTTACAGATATTGTACCATCCTTGCATCCCTGGAATAAATCCCACTTGGTCATGGTGTATGATCTTTCTAATGTATTGCTGAATCCAATGCAAAAAAAAAAAAAAAAAGAAAAAGAAAAAGAAACAAGATCAACTTACACCATAAAAAAAAAATAAACTCAAAACGGTTAAAGGACTTAAATGTAAGATGTGAAACCATAACAATCTTAGAAGACTCCATAGCCAGCAAAATATTAGACATATGTCATAGCAATATCTTTACCAATACAGCTCCTAGAACAATGGAAACTAAGGAGAAAAATAAATGAATGGGACTACATCAAAATAAAAAGCTTCTGCACAGCAAAAGAAGCCATCAATAAAAATGAAAGCCCACTGCGTGGGAGAACATATTTGCCAATGCTACCTCAGATAAGAGTTTAATCTTCATAATTTACAGTGAACTCATACAACTTAACAAAAGGAAGATAAACAATCAAATAAAAAAATGGGCAAAGGATCTAAATAAACACTTTTTAAAAGAGGACATACAGAAAGCCAAGAGACATGCTCAGTCACTAATCATCTGAGAGATGCAAATGAAAACAATAATGAGATACCATCTCACACCTGTCAGAATAGCTATCATCAACAAATCAACAAAAAACAAGTGCTTGGGAGAATGTGGGGAAAAAGGAACCCTTGTGCACTGCTGGTGGGAATGCAGACTGGTGTAGCCACTGTGGAAGACAGTATAGAGTTTCCCATTTGACCCAGTGATCACACTTTTAGGACTATATCCCAAGAAACACCAATCAGAAAGGATTTATGCACCCCTATGTACATAGCAGTACAATTTACCATGGCTAAGATTTGGAAACAGCCTAAGTGCCCATCAGCAGATGAGTGGATTAAAAAACTGTGGTACATGCCAAAGCCGGTTTGGCTCAATGGATAGAGCATTGGCTTGGGGACTGAAGGGTTCCGGGTTCGATTCCGGTCAAGGGCATGTACCTTGGTTGTGGGCATATCCCCAGTAGGGGGTGTGCAAGAGGCAGCTGATTGATGACTCTCTCTCATCGATGTTTCTAACTCTCTATCTCTGTCCCTTCCTCTCTGTAAAAAATCAAAAAAATATATTTTTTAAAAAACTGTGGTACATTTACACAATGAAATACTATCTTACCTTATAATCTTACCTAATAATTTGACCCAACCTCTGCTATGCCACCAACCAATCAGGAGTGATATGCAAATTAATTCAACAAAGATGGAAGTTAATTTGCATACAGACATGGAGTTACAGGGGTAAAATACTTGCGTCATTGCCATGGTGATGATACAGGCATTCTGCCCCATCCCTGGTCTTTCAGAGCCTCTGGGAAGCGTGGGGAGGCAGGACCAGAGTGGAAAGAGGCTGCTATGGGCCCAGAATGGAAAGGGACTGGGCCAGAGTGGAAAGGCAGTGCTGGCAGCCAGGGAAAGGAAAGTCCATTGTATCATGAATCTTCGTGCATCAGGCTACTATAAAGAAGAAGAAACTTTTACCATTTGCAACAGCATAGATGGACCTGGAGAGCATTATGCTAAGTGAAATAAGCCAGTTAGAGAAAGATCAGTATCACATGATCCCACTCATGTATGGAATATAATAAACAACATAAACTGATGAACAAAATAGATCCAGAGACAAGGTAACTGAACAGACCTTCCAACCTCAGAGAGAAGGCAGAGTAGAACCTGTATGCATGCATATTAGCATAACCAATGGACACAGACACTGGGGTGGTGGGGGCTTTCCTTGGAGAGTGGCAGTGGCTGAGGAGGGGTTTAATTGTTGAAAAAGGAGACATACATAATACTTTAACCAATAAAAAATTATCCAAAACATCAACAACAACAACAACATCACAGCACCTTTGTCCATGGAAATTTTTGTCACCTCTAATTACAAGTCACCTTTTATTTCAAGTCATTTATGAAAGGCAGAGGAGTGTAAAAACAATGACCATGATTCCTAGCTCTTTTTGTATTTGTCTTTGCAGGTAGGAGGCAGAAAATGAACCAGCACAAGACAAATAATTCTATCAACTGGAACTCTTAGTTTCAAGTACAGTTGACCCTTGAACACATGGGTTTGAACTGCCAGTCCATTTTTACCTAGACTTTAAAAAAAAACATACATACAGTACTATAAATGAATTTTCTCATCTTTACGGTTTGTACAATTTTATTTGCGTTTTTTTGGTAAGAATTCTATAAAATAATTAATGTGCAAATGGCCATCACACCCTCACACTGTAACAGCTCAGGCACTCAACACTGGGGAGAGAGAAAAGGGGACCAGCCAGGCTGTGGCCCAGGGGGAAGCCGTCCACCCATGGTCTCCTGTGGCTGTGACAGGTTCAGGCAAAGCCGGCCTGGGTTCTGGGTGTCTATGGCCGGCTAGAGGAAAATATATTTGTTTATAGTTTGAGATAGGGTTCCAAATTTATTATTTTTCCAAGTGGAAAATCAAATATATAAGCATAATTTTTCAAAAATTCATTCTTTCCCCCATTGGTTTATAATGACGTCTCTTAAGTTTTTATTATGAAGGTCTCTCCAAGTGTGACTCAAAAAAATAGTAGCATTTAACACTCAACCTGCACTTGCCCGGTGTCTAAAACTATGCTAAGCATTTTACCTTCTCTGATCATGCATTTACGTTGTAATGCCTGGGCTTTCATGTAGATCAGGGAACCCTAATAAATGGTAGGTATTACCTTACTTGTTTGTTTACTGGTTAACAGAAATGTGTTCATCAGGTGAGGTACACAAATAGGCTGGTTGACACAAACTGCATTAAAAAAAAAAAGCATCCCAACAGTATCACTTGCTTTTATTCAACAGGGGGGGAAATCAACACATTTTCCAAAGAGGCAGGTAACTCAGTAGCTTTAGGAAAAACTAACATAACATCAGCTTGTTTGACAAAGCTTTTAAAATAAGTGAGCAATTAAATTCTTAAAGTAGGAACAGAATGTTATCAAGGTCTAGACTCCAGGACACTTGGAAGCAATTACTTAGGCACTGTTTTGCTTAACAGTTTTAGCTTTAATGTAAATATATATTATTATTTAGAATATTTGCATCTGAACTACATAATGACTTTATTTTTTCATTTTACTTTAATTAAAACCAAGATTTCTGAAACCTCCAAGTAGTCTTTATAAAGTTTTCCAATATGAACATAAACTAACTCATTTTCCTCTCTACATATTAAATGTGAAATAACTGTCACAATAAGTCATTTTCACGGGAAGATTTTTAAGGCTTCTGGCACATAGAATGTGTAATATCTGTGTGACAATAACATAATTATATACAGAAAATATTTAAAATTTACCTTGTGCAATTTAAGTTCTAAAGATTAAAAAACCAATGTTTTATGGTAATAAAATATTAAAATATAATATACTCCCCATAAATTTGACACTGATTTTGCAATTACACAAAGAACACACAAGAGTTGTACACTAAATGATTCATCACTGCAATTAACTATTGAACTGTGTATACTTATTGAATATCATTCGTCTTCTATATCATACTTTCAGCACACAATAGGCTTTAATATAACTTACAAACATTTGCAATTAAACTGTGACACTGAGGCAGCCAATGTCAGCTCTAGGTTTGCCTAGTTATTCACGTATCATACAAACATGTCTATGACTCTTGCTTTACCCTTTTGTCTAAGTCACATTGCAGAGAATGTGTCAACAAGTAAGTGGATCAAAAACTAACAACAACATGACTATTTCTCATTTGAAAAAAAATGAAGTCATTAACACCTCGTCTTAAAGCTCTAAAGTAGCATATTCAGCTCTTAAGGCAAAAAAGGTAAAAAATATTATTATAAATTATAAATTCTGATAATTCTTCTTTTGGCATTGAAAGCCACAGTATAAACTCTTAGACTTCCGTAGATAATATATTAGTGTACATCTGAATATATATTTGCCAACATTCCCCAGTAGAACGAAGTTGCTCTGTGAAGTGGAGAAGGTGAAGGGCAATATGGCGGGGCAACCTTTAATGGCTGTCCTGGGCATCAAGGGACATGGAGTGACTGAGTCTTGACTTCCCATTCATAGATATTGTATTTGATGGAACAGTAACCTAAGAGAAAAAAACACACTTTATGACCGTCAATTTAAAATGGGACAGCTATCTAATTTTCAACAATTACTACATTTAATGTCTGTTTAATTGTAAATACTACCATTTATTATGCAATCAATGACAAATAATCAAGAATAAATGTTCACTCAACCATGAAATTAAAAATGAAAGGGTTGTTATTCCCACAACAAATTTGACCATCTTATTCTTTATCAGATTGCCAAATCAACTCAAAAGGACAAGAGCAAAAACAGACTGCAGGCCAAGCTGTTAAAGATGATTGTTAGCTAGATTAATTCTGACTCTTCAAAAGTGCCTTGGAGAATGTAGAAAAATAAAGGGAATGCCACAAAGGAATTAATTTTACAATTTTTGTATAGATGGTACACAGTAACTTAAAGTTTCCCTCACAAGTATCTCTTACTTATAAGGAGGGGGGAGGGGAGAAGAGCTTTGGTTTTTAAAATGCTTTTTTAAAAAGTGCTAACAAGTCAAATTTATGACTGTTATACTAAAACAGTTGCTGAATAAAAAGATTTTGTTTTGTTTTGTTTTTTTTTATAAATAAACTCATAAGTTCCAAAATTGTATGCCAAAGTTTTTTACTTATAAAGTGTAAGTGAATGAAAAACACTATAACAAGAATTTACTAAATAATCTGAAATTCCAATATTATTTAGAAAAATGTAAACAAAAAATCATCTGGATTTTATATAGTAAACAGGTACTCTAGTTTGAAATACATCAAATATGATAGTATTTTGAGAAACATAGTTTACCTCTAGATTATAAGTCGACTAGTTTAGATTCATAACCAAACATTATTATCTTCTCACGAGAGATTTGAAGTACAAAAGACCATTGATTCTGCTCAGCAACAAAATAAGTTAGTGAAAGGGGAAATAAAATTGGAAAATTTAGTTTGAGTTTGGTTTTCTTGTATTTCCTTGGTTGCCGTTACTAAGCAAAGACTGATCATCTAGTCAATTGTCTTTACTCTCATGAATCAGGGTGGAGTAGAATGGTTGACATTAACCACCCGAAATACAATAGCTAAGAGGAAAAGTTGCACCAGCAGAAGAAAAACTCGTCAGTACCCTGTTTAGTATTCATGTAGGATTTCTTTCCACGTAGAGCCAACAAACAACACACAGGTAATGACTTGTCATTATGAAACCTTGATCCAAAAAGTCTCTGTGTGTAAAAGTTATTCTTATAATTTTTGTTCACAAAATTCTTTGTAAAGTACAGGAGAGAAATTTGTTTTAAGCATTTAAAAAAATCATACTTATGGCTCCAGGTGTTTGCAAGTAGCAGGTGTCGTCATTGCACTATTATTAGTGAAAAACTAGAATCCAGGTAAATGTCCACCAATAAAGAGCAATGAAGCTTATACTTATTCACAAATACTATGTAGTATTAAAAGAATAACATATAACATGTGTCATATATATATGTGTGTATATACATATATATACTCACACATATGAATATATATATATTTATATATGTATATATTAAGTTGGAAATCAAATAGATATGTTTTTTAATATTTTATAGAAGATTTTATTTTTATAAAAAATTAAATATGTTTACATACTACAAATGTGGTAGGACAGGTTATACTGTAATCTATCTATATAGAGCATTTACTTTGGGGAAGGAAACTTGTATTTTGTTTATTATTTAAAAATATGTTGCCAAAACCGGTTTGGCTCAGTGGATAGAGCGTTGGCCTGCAGACTGAAGATCCCAGCTTCGATTCTAGTCAAGGGCATGTACCTTAGTTATAGGCACATCCCTAGAAGGGAATGTGAAAGAGGCAGCTGATCAATGATTCTCTCACATGGATGTTTCTAACTCTCTATTCCTCTCTCTTCCTCTCTGTAAAAAATCAATAAAGTATATTTTTTTAAAAATGTGTTTAGTGAACTGTCAAACATGAGAAGACATCATTAAATTCTGTTCTATAAATTCTGTGGCGTCAGAGACCTTTTTTGTTTTAATACTACTTTATACTCATGTTTGTTTTAGTGCCTGGCATAGAATAAAACAATGAATATTTCTTGAATGGAATATTGTAACTTTTTACAAGCATTTATAAAGTTAAGCAAAACATTGCTTAACTTAATGAACACACGACACTTATAATAAAGATATTTTTAAAGTAACATTTAAGAGTTAACTGATTAGTATGTGCTAGTTGATTGACTACCCTTAAAGTTTAAAAATTTTAAGGAATATTTACATAGCTTTCTTATTCCCATAAAGAGAGTTATCTGTGAACTGTCATTTATTTTTACTTGAAAAAATATAAGAAAAACCCACTTGAAACCCCTGATAGTTCAAATTCAAACTAAGGAAATATGAGTCAAAAGCAAACCAATGGAACATACAAAACAAGCCAGCATGATTCTGGATGAATTTTCCAGTTTTTTTTCTTCGCTCCAGATTTCTATCTAGTCAAAGATAAGTTTTACTTACATTCTGAGGAAATACTTAGTATCAAGTAATAAGCCTTATTTGTCCATTTATTTTCAGATTTTATGTTTACAACCCTATTTTCTACCTGGAATCGTATAATAAACTTTAGTATTTCAAGCACTGTCAGGATCTGAAAGCAGTTCTGGTGTCAGCTCAAGTTCTGGTGTCAGCTCAAGTCAATAATAATGAATTACCTAATCTGTTTTATTTTCTGAAAACAATCTGCTGATTGATTTATAAACTGAATATCAAACACATTTTATAAAATACTCAACTAGAATTATTAATGCTGCATCTAAAGAAACATTTCTGTAGCTGCATGGGGGACAAGTGGGAATAAGGCAAAAACCTTAAGGGTGGGGGGGGAGAAACGTACATGCTCATGACCACATTTTCACTACAGCAATCAACAAGATAATTGTTCTAATGTGAACCAACTATTATAATGAAGGTTAATTGCTTGGTATGAACCAGAGCCATAAGGCAGGTTGGTACCTGGAGTCAAGCAACATTTGGGTGCCAAAAGAACGGCAACCCTGAGCCAACTTTCTGATGAACAATCTGAGCCTACTGTCAAAATCACCAGAGACTGTATTTGGCACTAGAACTGTTGCTCTATTTAAAAATGTCAGAATTTAAAACAAACCGGAGAAACGTCTCATACAGGACAGAAATATGGACTAAGCAAATACCACAAGAAATTAGAGCCTTCTTGTGCTCACTTTAACTAGCTTTGGAAATTTTTTTTGAAATAGAATACATTTACAGAAAAGTGCAATGAATTTAAACAGCCCAATGGGAACAAGCACAGACACGTATATATCCCACCACCCAGGTCAAGAGAGTGAATACCGCCACCTCCCTGCTAACCCTGTCTTTACTTAACAAGATGACATTTTATTCATCATGGATTTCACATTAATTTGGACATTTAAAAAGTATTGCTTTAAGATAATATTCATCTTGACTACTTGGCTTTTTGGTTTCCTCTTAAATTGCGTGCCTGTGCTCCATTGAGCCCCTAAGAGCTCCTTGGCTTTCCCTCTGAAGTAACCACTATCAGGACTTTTAAAATTACTTCCTTGCCTTTAAAAATAATTGCCACCTACCATGTATCATTAAAGAATATAATTTGGTGTTGCCTGCTGTCAAACTTTACAAATTTCATATGTATCAATACTATTGTATTTTGCTGTATTTTTGTCTAATTATTGCTATATGATAGTTTGTGCTTTGAATATACTACTTATAATACTATTTTTGGATAGTAAAGCTCTATTTCTTGGAAGCTTTTACAAACAATATCCCATGAGAATTTTCTTATATGAGAATCCTGGTACACACATAGTTTTAGCCTATATAACTAGACATGATCGTGAAGTGGAAGCTGATTGTGAAGAGTAGATACCGTGAACTTTACTAGACCTGGTGGTGTCCATTCTAGGTAGAATAAAATGGATTATGTAAGACAAGACACTTTCATTAAACAAAACTTAGGAGCTGGTGTTATATAGAGCTACCGATAACCTCCTACTGAGACAGATAAAATTTAGGCTCAATAGAACTTAAGGTAATGAGTTATAAACAAGAGACAATTATAGAAAGCATCATCATTTTGGGCCTGATCCCTCTGTTGATTCACATCCAGCTCATTCTGGAAGCAATGAGAATTCTGAATGTGAAGAGACTGCCAAATCAGAGCCCATAACACACCTAGCTAACAGCTGCTTGCCTGTGCAATTCCGTTGAGCGAAAAGGCATCTCCACCTTAATGCACTGTTTTCTGCAGTCAGTTCATTGAATCTGATTAATAGATCCACTGGCTTAGTGGAAACACCCTGCAATTATCTCCCGTGCAGTTACTTGGCTCTCCTGCGGGCCTGATGTATCACCGTTTCTCAGTCCCAGGCAGTGAACACCCAGAAGGCAGCGGCTTCATTTGACTCATTTTTGCCTTCCAAGTAGCAAGTACAATGTTTGACACCTATGTGCTTAAAACATGCTTGTCAAATTTATTGCATCAAGAAGGCTTTAGATTTGGAAATTATATATTTGAAACACATCCTTCTTTACCAGATAAAAATGAAAAAAATTGTCATAAATGAGAATGTGCGATTTAATAGGGGCATATGTCCCCACAAAATTCAAATGTCATCGGGTGAACTAAACATTTTAATCTGTAAAGCTCTACCACATTTTTGCTGTCTGGCACCTAAATTCAGCCTACGAACACTCTAAAAAAAAAAAAAAAATTCCACCTTAATTCCCTGATTTATTCCTTCATGTTTCTCCACTCCTGAAAGCACACAACATTTTGCCTTGTCTCCACACGTGCCCAGATGGGAGCACCGAGCCCTCCAGCCGAATGGCTGTCACTCACAGCTCCTCTGAAACTCACGCTAAGGAAGGGCCAGAGGAGGCAAGGCCTGCCAAGGAGGCATGCCCAAGATTTCTTCCCTTTTCTTTTCGTCTTTGCAGCATTCCCGGTGCTTTGCAGATTTAGTTTCTATTGAGCTCAGTGTTTTACTCAATAAGTCTCTTAATCTTCTCTAAATAGCTTCTAAAATGATTAGAGAAGGGATTTACAAAAATTTTTTTCTTGTTTTTGGGTGTTGAGAAATTAAAGAGAGACTAAGAAAGACATTTAGGGAGGCTATAGCCTCTGGAAAGTCCAAGCTAGGCTTTAGGCTCCTCCATATCCTTTTTAAAAATACATATATATATATATATATATATATATATATATATATATATATAATTGATTTTAGAGAATAAAGGAGAGGGAGAGATAGAAACATCAAAGATGAAAGAGAATCATAGATTGGTTGCCTCCTGCATGCTCCCCCCTACGGGGTATAGAGCCCACAACCCGGGCAAGTGCCCTGACCAGAAATCTAACCATGAGTTTCTGGTTCATAGGCCGCCACTCAACCACTGAGCCACACCAGCTGGGCATCCACGTCCTCCTTCAGTGGATGAGGGTGACAGAGGGAGGAAACCCACCTACAATGATTCCCTGTGACAGCTGTTTGGTATCTGCCCCATTCCCGAAGCTCTCCTACACCTCAGTAAAGAGGAGCTGAACAATTCTAGTGGAGCATTATTAGGACTTGAATATATCTACATTAGGTCTTATCTCAATTATCTAGGTTTTCTCTACATTTTTTTGGTTTAACCTATAAAAACTTCTCTCCCTCTTTGGCACTCTAATCTCATCCCATATGTGGTAATAACTTGATTACCCTAGTAACCATGACTGAAACTAGTGCAGGTTACTATCACTAGTGCAGATTCTCTGGAATACAGGGGGATCATCTTTCTGAAATAATCTTTCTTGTTGAGATAACAATTTCTTTTTTTTCTTTTTTTTTTAAATAGATTTTCATTGATTTCAGAGAAAAAGGGAGAGGGAGACAGAGAGATGGAAATGTCAGTGATGAGAGAGAATCACTGATCGGCTTCATCCTGCTTGCCCCCTACTGGAGACGGAGCCTGTAGCCAGGGCACATGCCCTGACCTGGAATCCAAACTGGTTCATAGGTCCATGCTCAACCACTGAGCTGAGCTGGCCAGATGGGCTAACAATTTCTTAAAATAAGAGCCCACGTACTTTCTATATCTACTTTCATAATAATGAGCAAAAGGCATGTTGTGCATCTGGTCCATGTTATGGAAAACAGACTTGACATATTTAAAGTATGTGTAAGATTCTGGACTCTCTTAGGCTTTACTTCAAAAATGACCCCTGACATAAAAGAGTAACTTCTGACATCTCCTGTAGTCAAGCTTAAATGCCAGGAAACAATTTCTCCTAAGTATTAGTCTGACCGTGTTGAAAATAAACCCAATGCCACCCATCTGATAAAGAAGACTTACCCTTTTCAATTTGGCAGCGGCCTCTCCCGAACGGATTGCAGTCAGCAGACTCTGTCGGAACTCTTCGGGGTCAGAGCTTTGGAATGTTAGAGAACTTTGCCTCTTAAGGGTGCATGGTGGGTAGTCAGTTGGAGATGGTATTTGGGAATTCCGCTCACTCTGTGAGGAGTTATTTTCCTAAAACAATAAAAGCAAACTATATGAATACCAAGTGCAATATGGGCATTTTTTCCAGCATTTTTTTCCTTCATCAATAGTTCTTTAGGAATCACCATTTGCCACATTGGATTTCTATTCATAGTTCTATTTCCTCAGCCACTGAATCATCTCAGCTACTAGAGCCCAGCTGGAAAGAGGGCATTAATTTCCCTTTTCTTGAACAAGGAGGGTGCTAAGGAAGGAAAGTGGTACCTCTTTGTTTCATGAACACAAGGGCAATTTTACTATCCCTGAGACAAATAAGGCTGATTTCTCCAACAGCGTTGGTTAAGAGAGCCAAATGAATTTTAAAAATAAATATTCCATAGACTAAAAAAGAACCTATAATATTTTCACAGTTCTAACATATTAGGTTGTGAAGTTATTATTTTCAATGGTACAAAATAGACAAATATTGGCAAACTCACACTGGTTGCAATTAGCAACATATCATCTAATAATAAAATATTAATGATTATGCTACCTGTAATGGCTTGTTTTGTTTCTGGAAGTCAGAAGGACTAGGAGATGGCCATGGTTTTTTTGTTTTTTGCTTTTCCCCCCATGAAACTAAAAATAAATAATAGGAATTTCTAAGAATTAAAATTTTAATTCAACTTCTTAGAAATGAATATTTTGTAACTAATTCAACTGGCAATTATTATCAAAAAATTTTTAAATTGTCTTTTTCAAAGTGCCAAATAAATATCTTTACAAATGAGTTAAACAGAGCTCAGGAAGAGGCTCAAAGACTGTATTTTCCAAATCAAGCTTCTGTTGTTTAGGAAAGGCATTCCATTCTAAGAAAAACACAGGATTTTTCCCAAATAAAGAATTAAACTTATATCATATATCTCTTCCTGACATATCAAAGTAATAAAGCATAAATATGAAATACATGAAGAAATATTCTTCAAGATAAATGTTGCATTGAAATTGTGGAAAAATCTTTACTTGGCAATATGGTTAATGTTCTGCTACTCTCAGAATGTTTGAAAAATTCGTATAAAATACATCTGGAACTGTCACACAAATATGAAAGTCTTCTTTAAATACTATCAGAGTAAAAGTACACAAAATATTTTTTAAAAACTGTGTGGGGAATATCATAACTCATTCTGTGAATTTCTGCCTTTCCTTTGACTATGTGAATCTGACAAATTATAACAGTTGAGCAAACATAAAGTCAACAAAAACTCCCCTTTTTTTTGTAAATTATTAAGGTTACATAGTAGTTAAATGATATTTTGGTCAACATACACATAACTGGAAAAGCTGATACTGAATGAATAAATGGGAAATTAAGAAAATGGCATATTTAAACTCTGGTTTTAAATTATTTATATGTAAAGATATCTAATAAGCTGAGGTTAAGTATATGTTACAGAAAATACATAGCTAAGAGATGCTTGGTTATTTTATCTAGACTTTGATACTGTTTATATACTTATATATATAAAATATTTTTTATTGATTTCAGAGAGGAAGAGGGAGAGAGCTAGAAATATCTATGATGAGAAAGAATAATTGATCGGCTGCCTCTTGCACATCCCATACTGGGGATTAGGCCTGCAACCTGGGCATATGCCCCCACCAGGAATCCAATGGTGACCTCCTGGTTCATAGATCCATGCTCAACAACTGAGCCATGCCCGCCAGGCTATATTTCTATATAATTAAAACTATTTTGCAGTTATGTAGAATTGGAGAGAATAATACAGTAAACCAGAACATCCAGAAAGTTATAAACAAATTGAGATAAGAAAACCCCAGGAAAATAGAGTCAGAACTATAAACTAGTATACCACACAAATGTCTGAGCAAAGAAACTTCAAATTAAAATATTTGCTTAGAATATAATTATATGGTGGCCTTATACCCAATCAGTTTATATGAGTCATAGTGACTGAGAGTAAATAATCAGACTGTCTGTATTATACCTTTCTTTCTACAGCGGGTTGTTTGCTATTAGGTTATTATGAATTCAGACCTAATACACAAACATATCAACACACTGTACAAGATCCCCTTATTTTTTTAAAAAAAGGAAAAACTTGCTGAAACCGGTTTGGTTCAGTGGATAGAGCATCGGCCTAAGGACTGAAGGGTCCCAGGTTCAATTCTGATCAAGGGCATGTACCTTGGTTGCAGGCACATCCCCGGCTGGGGATGTGAAGGAGGCAGCTGATCCATGATTCTCTCTCATCGATGTTTCTAGCTCTCTATCCCTCTCTCTTCCTCTCTATAAAAAATCAATAAAATATATTTTTAAAAATAAAAAGTAAAATGTACCGTATTACTCACACAGGGCTGTGGGGCGTCCACAGGGGTATCCACGGAGGGACTTTTCCCGTCCGCAGCGTCACTGGGCGCTGGCGCGCAGGCCCCCTCGCTGCAGGCCTCGGAGCGCACTTTGCTGAAAGACTGAGACCGCTTCACCACCGCCAGGGCGAAGGGCGAAGGAGCGGAGCTCGAGTAAGGTCGCGGGGCGCCGAAGGTTTTCAGAGTCTTCAGGTTTAGTGCTGCCAGCTGACTGCTGGGAAGAGAAGCGGGTTTGGGGGCGATCGGAGGAGGGGAGGTTTCGGGAGGCTTCTGAGTGCTAAGGCCTCCATCGGTGTCTTGCACGTGGGGCTGCAGAGGAGAGCGAGCTGTTTTACTTGAGGGAGAAAGAGTTTGCTCCGGAGGAGGCATCGGATCCCTTTCCACCTCCTTCCTCGGGAGCTCCTGGGGAGCAGGACCAGGGGCAGCGTGGACGCTCTTGGCGGCTGCGGAGGTCACGTAGTGACCCGAAGCTCTCTTTTGCATTTGCAAGAAAAAGGAACTTGGTTTGGCCTGGGGATTGGAAGCCCGAGATTTAAGCCTTGACTCTAATATACTGTTTATTTCTTCCAAGTTTGGCGCAAAAGGAGCCGTGCCAGTGTCTCTGGTCATCCTGGGAGTGGGTTTCAGGGGACCTGCCGTGGGGCTGTGGGGCACGCCCTCCACACTGTGCCCCTTATGCTCTGCTCTCAGGGCAGGCTTGGGTTTCAGGTCTGGCTGTGGCTCCTTCGGGCTTGCAGAAATAACGACATCTTCTGTTTGCATTGCCGTTTCTTTCACATTCTCCTGCATGTGCCTTTTCCCTAAAGAATGGATACCTTGATCATCTTCATACCCGAAGGTTTCTGATTCCCCGTCTTTTGCTATTTCCAGGGATTTAGGAGGAACTATTTTATAAGTAGTCATCCCAATTTTGGGTATATAGTCTCTCGTAATTTCATTGGAAGGTTTTGGCTTGGGAATGTAGTCTTGTCGGTAAAGTGGATGATTCTTTGTATAAGAAGCAGCTGGATTTTTATTAGTCTCATCTACGGGAGCATCATTGCCATGTGCATACATTGGCTCTTTCACGGCGAGCCGATCTTCCGGATGTACAGGGAGAGGGCCCTGTCTCCTGAATTCTCTTGAAGTATGGACGGAATCTTGTGGACTTAAAGGTGAATGTTGAGTTGAGGTGTTGTTAGTTGCAGTTTGCACAGTTTCATCAACTTTGAGGTCAGACAAATGATGGTGCCGGAGATTCCCATTCAAACTGTTGCAAGAAGGAGTTGCCTGAATCGCTGCATCTTGCATTTTTGTCTTCTCTGCACTCGGTTGGTTCAGTGTTGGGCCTGGTTCTGATGAGGCAGCTAGATGATTTTCCTTGTCACTTCTAGCAGTTTCCGTTTTGTGTGCCTGAAGTCTGTCAACGTCCATGTCCACACTGTTATTTTTGGCAACACCTCCCACATTGATTTCCGTTCTCCTCCATCCGTCTTTCACATGATCTTCCATATTCCTTGATGTGACAGTTATTTCATTTTGATCTATGAGAAAAAAAGAAAAATCATCAAGTATAGGGAAGAAAAAGTACAAAAACTTCAGTTTGCAATGCTTGCCTCCCCAAACTAAATTAGGCTGGTTTAAAATTTTCAGCTAATTACACAAAATCAGGTAGTTGCATTTAATGAAAACAGTCTGGAATCCTGAGTCTGGAATCCATCTGTAAGCGGGCTTGACTAATTATAACCTCTGTGATCACAGCTTATTACTTAACCCTTGGAGCCTCAGTTTGCTCAGATGTAAAAACGTGAAAATATGTATTTCAGTTGACCCTTGAAGGACACAGGGGTGGGGACACTGTCCTCTCTACACAATTAAAAATTCATATATAACTTTTGACTCCCCAGAAACTTAACTAATAGCCTTCTGCTGACCAGAAGCTTTACCAATACCCTAAACAAGGGACTAACACATATATTGTATATGTATTCTATACTGTATTCTTAAAATAAAGTAGGCTAGAGAAAAGAAAATGTTAAGAAAATCATAGGAAGGGAATATACTTTTACATAGTATTGAAAAAATATGTGTATAAGTGGACCCATGGAATTCAAACCCATGTTGTATAGGAGTCAACTGTATATTTTATCTGTCATTTATGTAACATGCTTATTAGGATAGGATATTACCCAGAGCAAGACTCTATAGAACATAGCTATGTTTCTTCTTATAAATACAGATTTAATATTACAGTCATTGTTAAAAATGACAAAAGAAATTGACAAATTCAAAATATGTTTTTTATTCTTTATATTTTTTTCATGTCAATTCTCTTCTGTCATTTATTTATTTTTATGCATAACATTAAGGAGGAACAACCCTAGCAAATGTTATCAGTTTTAAATAAGGCAGAAAACAAAAACATTACCTTTAAGAGTTAAAGTAAAAACACAATCAACATTGGCTGAGTTGTTAACTAGGTGTCCTCACTGAAGGGGACTATGTCTTGAGTCATAATACTGGTGATTTCAACTACATAAAAATGATCATGTGTTCTTTTCATTTGGGGAAAAACAAGCTATTCTTCTCATGTCAGAGTTCAAATAGAGAAAACAGCCTCCCTTTCCCCTATACTACTTTTCCTCTTAATTCTAATTCAGACTTCCTAAACACAAAAATCATTTGCCAGTGTTCAGATCAACAAAGCAACAATTGCCAGCCGAATACTTGATGGCAAAGAGAGGGAATGAGACATCTGAAAGGCAACACGGGTTTATGAGAATGCATCATGTATCTAGTACTGAGTAACATGCTTCATTTATACACTGTGCTCCTCTATTCAAATGCCCAGAAGAATCATTTCTCCTGGATGACCAACTAGCCCTCATCTTCAAAATCCTCAGAGGCCTCCTCTTTCATATGGCAGTTTGTATAGAACAAGTGAAATGCGAGCTTTGGGAGCCAAACTGTGAAAGGATATCAAATATTTCTCTATAGTTTTATCATCCCTCACTTTAATGTATACGGTTAACATCAATTTCACTGCCTAAAGTGTCATGAGATATTTAAACTAGTTCCTCTGTTAGAAGAGAAAAAAAGGCAAGAAAAAGAAATGCAGGCAAAAAAGTATCATGTTGCCAGGTAAATTCAAATACTAACAATTTTTCAACAAAATCATGTTTTTAAAGCCTGCCTAACTATACAATTTATTGGTCATAATAGTTACATCTTATATTATGCTGTAAGGTTCCCATATTAAACATATAATTTTCATTTTTATTCTCCTCAAATAAAATGCAACTAATTATAAGAATATGTATTGTCTATATAGGAGTGACTATTCTCAATGACAAATAATTATTAGCTTTTGTGATTTACAAAATTAAGCACATGTGATTAGGAACCATGGAAGAGGTATATATCGGCCTTTGTTCTCATTTATTTGGCTCATAAGTATTTTTAATATTTGTATGAAAATACTACTTCTCAATGCTACTACAAGCACAGAAGTATATAAGAAATGGTCCTTGGCACCAGCAAATCTATAGAATAAAAACCTAAGCAACTGTTACAGCAGAACAACCAGAACGACCAGTCACTATAATGGGCACTGACTGCCAGGGGACAGACACTTAATGCAAGAGCTGCCTGGTAGTCAATGCACTCCCACAGGGAAAGTGCTGCTCAGTGAGAAGCCAGACTCATGGCTGGTGAGCACAGTGGAGGTGGCAGGAGCCTCTCAGTGTTCGATCTCAGGATGGTATAGACCAGTGGTCAGCAAACTGTGGCTCGCGAGCCCATGCGGCTTGCAAGCCGCAGTTCGCCGCTCCGTTGACTAATGGATTTGCCGGCCACTGGGATAGGTGCTTAATCACAAGGAACAACAACAGCCTGTAATTATTAGAATCGAGCGTCTAGGTCAGTGGTCAGCAAAATAAGTTAACAGAGTGGCAAACTGCAGCCATGTGTAGAGACCATGAAGAAAATGAATCGGAAACATATATATTTAAACTAACCAACATGTAGGAAAAAAGAGAAATAGATCACAAGTATGCATAGAGTATACATTCTAGATCAGATAACTTCTAATGTTTAACCACAAGGACAAAAGGGGGTACACATGGCAGTTAAAAGCAGACTCTGGAGTAATGTCACCTGAGTTCAAATCTGAGGCCCACCACTTAATAATTGTGGAACTTCAAGTAAGTTATGTAATATTTTTGAGGTTCAATCATCTATAAAATGGGTCTAAAGATAATAATGTTCATAAATGAGTTAACATACAAGATTAATGAATTAATATATATATGTATATATATATAAAGAGTTAAGAATGGCCCTTCGTACATAGTAAGTGCTATGAAAGTGTTGGCTATTAGTGTTTATATAACTCACCATTCTCTTGACTTGGGCCCAATGACTTCAAGTTTCTTACATTGTCAACTACTCTCTCTTCATTTCTTGGATTATATGCCATCAAGTGCGTTTCTCTGCAAAAATGATATTTTATGTTATACATCCAGACTACTCAAATGCGCGCGCGCTCACACAGACATGATGAGAAAACAGGCAATAATTTCCAAAGACAGATGGACTAAAATAATCATCTTTTTATGCCAAATACTGAAAATTTAATAGCAAAGAAAAAAGTGTAACTGAGGGGAAATGCTGCTATGAAACATTAGCATTAGCTTTCATGTGGGGGTCCTATTAAAAAAAAAATGTAAAAAGCTTGTAAAATATACGCTTTCCCCCAGTGTCTTTTTGTTATTTTTATTTGTCTTTTAAAGAAAAGGGATATAAATGAAACCTTTTTTGTTTTGCAAATTGCATGGTCAAATTTTATTTATTTTTCAGTTTATTCAATAGTATTTTCAGTTTATATTCAATATTATTTTGTATTATTACTTTCAGGTGCACAACGTAATGGTTAGACAATCCTACACTTTACAAAGTGTTTCCCCTCAATATTTCCAGTTCCTACCTGGCACCATATGTAGTTACTACAATATTATTGACTACTAGAGGTTCAATGCATGACATTCGTGCACTGGGATTGGGGGCGGGAGGGAAAGGTCCCTAAGCCTGCACCCTCTCGCAGTCCATGACCCCATGGGGGATGTCTGCCTGCCAGCTTAGGCCCACTCCCCATGGGGATCGGTATAAGCTGGCAGGTGGACATTCCCTGAGGGGTCCTTGGTGTTGCCATGGAGGAGGAAGAGGCTCCTGCCACCGCTGCTGTGCTCGCCAGCTGTGAGGCCCCCACAGGGATAACACTGCTCAGTCAGAAGCTGAGCTTGTGGCTCCTTAGTGCTGCCTCGGAGGCAGGAGAGGCTTCCACCACTGCCCACCACCACTGTGCTCGCCAGCCTTGAGACTGGCTACTGACCACCAGGGGGGCAGCTCCTGCCTTGAGCATCTGCTCCCTGGTAGTCAGTGTACATCATAGCAACTGGTCGATTTGGTCGATTTGCATATTAGTTTTTATTCTATAGGACTAGAGGCCTGGTGCATGAAAAGTCATGTATTCGGGTATGGCCCCTCAGCCAGGCCTGCACCCTCTCGCAGTCCATGACCCCATGGGGGATGTCTGCCTGCCAGCTTAGGCCCACTCCCCATGGGGATCGGTATAAGCTGGCAGGTGGACATTCCCTGAGGGGTCCTTGGTGTTGCCATGGAGGAGGAAGAGGCTCCTGCCACCGCTGCTGTGCTCGCCAGCTGTGAGGCCCCCACAGGGATAACACTGCTCAGTCAGAAGCTGAGCTTGTGGCTCCTTAGTGCTGCCTCGGAGGCAGGAGAGGCTTCCACCACTGCCCACCACCACTGTGCTCGCCAGCCTTGAGACTGGCTACTGACCACCAGGGGGGCAGCTCCTGCCTTGAGCATCTGCTCCCTGGTAGTCAGTGTACATCATAGCAACTGGTCGATTTGGTCGATTTGCATATTAGTTTTTATTCTATAGGACTAGAGGCCTGGTGCATGAAAAGTCATGTATTCGGGTATGGCCCCTCAGCCAGGCCTGCACCTTCTTGCAGTCCAGAACCCCTTGGGGGATGTCCACCTGCTGGCTTAAGCCTGCTCCCTGGGGGATTGAACCTACGCTGGCAGTCAGACATTCCTCTGGCAGCCCAGGAGCCCTCAGGGGATGTCTGACATGGGGAGAGGGCCTAAGGAATTACCGTATTTCCGGCGTATAAGATGACTTTTGAAACGAAAAAAAGTCAACTGAAAATCGGGGGCAAAAGACCAAAATTGCACAAAAATTACATGCAGATCTTGACGGCAAAGTAAGTCTTTTCTTTGAAATGGGGGGTAGTCTTATACAGCGAATATAGGCCTACACCTATGTTTTAACTGTAAAACTAGGGGGTCGTCTTATACGCTGGAAAATACGGTAGTCAGACATCCTCAGCGCTGCCACCGAGGCAGGAGAGGCTGTGCTGGTCATCCATGATCTGGCTCTGGCTGAGCAGCGTTCCCCTTGTGGAAGTGCACTGACCACCAGGAAGCAGCGCCTGCATTGAGCATCTGCCTCCTGGTGGTCAGTGAGTGTCATCGCAACCAGTTGTTCCCAGTTCTGCCATCAGGGTCAATTTGCAAATTATCTTTTTATTATAAAGGATGTTCCCTATGCTGTACTTTATACCCCTAAAAACTATTTTGTAACTTCCAATCTGTACTTCTCAATCCCTTTGTCTTTTTTTCATCCAGCCCCCAACCCCAACCCCTCTGACAACTGTCAGTCTGTCCTCTGTATCTATGAGGCTATTTCTGTTTTGCTTGTTTATTTTGTTCTTTATTGTACATATGAGTGAAATTATATAGCATTTGTCTTTTTCTGACTGACTTTGCACTGAGCATAATATGACATGGTTCACTTTTGGCAATTCAGAATGTGGACCGACCTCACTGGATTTTATTGGTGATAGAAAAGTTTTATTTGGAGGTAATCCCATGAAAATTATAGCAAAACTTTGATGAAGATGGTTGATTTTGTCTAATAAACTTCATCTTTATTCATGGTATGTCATTTTTAACATAATGAAAGTGAACTGTTCCTAGGATCCAGTGGCAAGTGCATTCTTTGTATCATAAAGTTGACTATAAAAATATTATTGGTAATTGATTATAATACTCTAATATGTGGAATTGTTTTATATACCAGTCAGTAAAAATCCTTAAGGAGCATTTGATAAAACTGAAAATTAAATGTTTCATTTCATTGTATCTATTACCTATAGATAATAGGTAAAATACATACAAGTAAACAAAACTTTTATATTTAAGTCATGTAAATTAACTACATGTTACAGTTTATTTGACACAAAGGTACTAGAACTGCTGAGTTTTATTTAATTTACAAACAATTACATGTAAGCAGATATTTTGCATTTAAAATATCAGATCTATTAATATATTCCAGAAGACTATATTAGTTAAACAAACCACCACCACCATTCTGGCATGTAGACTACTTACTGTCCATCTGTGTTTCTAGTTTCTTGTTTTTCTTCATTGGAGTTTTGTGAGGACTCTCCAGTATCACTGCCAAGGGCTGAGTCAGGGTCACTTTTCCGTGTATTTATTATATCAGTAGATCCAAAAGGAATCTCTTGTGACTTCCCAGAAACATTTTCAGCCTCATTTTTAGGCGCTTCACTCAGTTCTTCCTTTTCTTCTATTTCTTCAAGACTGTAATCAGAGCTTACTCCAGCTACAAAGAAATGAAGATATAATTCTAAATATTAATTTGCCTCATTCATGCTATATAATCCTAGCAAAGAAGGAATTTTTAAAACAAAAATTAGCTAGACTCTTAAATTCTGGTTCAAAATCAACAGTAGAATACTTTTCTAATGATGAATAATTATGTTAACATATAACCAGATTATCTCAGACATATAATTCTAAATATTTATTAAAATTTTCTTTTATTAAATGTTATAGAAAAGTCTGTTATTCCTTTTAAAAATTCTAATCCAAAATAGCTTTCACAGTTGGTTGGTTAGCTAGTATAAATTTCCTCAAGGTTTGAAAAATATTAAATCAACTTTGTTTTTGCCTGGGCTAATACGCTTATATGATGGCTATATTTTAGGACTACAATAAAAGAATTGGGTTTAGGGCTGTGAAAGATGAATAATTTTCATAAATGTTACATCACAACTATCATATTTCAGCTTCAAAAGTTATAAAGAAAGAATATTCACGTTGAAACAACAGTGCTCAAATTCTTAGTGCATATTTAAGATTTAACAAGATCCAAAATATAAATGTTAAAATATTATAAAAACATAACCTAAAAATATGATTATTGAAATTTCTTTACACTTACTTAGCTTTATATGGTTTGAATAGTTTTTTTTTTAAGTTTTCCAGTCCTTCTCAATTACAGAATAAAATTGAAAAAAAAATATTTAAAATTATTTAAACTCACAAATACAGTACATTATATGAAACGCAAGTATTAACTTTCAGAATGTGTTTTTATAAGTTTGTAGCATTTTACTTAAAGTTATTAAAGCTTAAAATTTCACTAATATTTTTAGAGTCCTAGTATATTTTTCCTGGAGATGATCAAAATGGCAAAGTTGTTTGACAAATACCTCTTTTTGATAAAACCCACAATAATAAAAGCGTAATATGCCAATTAGACCAGACACCCTTCCGGACATCCTTCTTGACAACCTTCTGGACAATGCTGGGGCTGAGTGGGAAGCCAGTGCCGACAGTCAAGGGAAAGAAGGCCTACTCTTGCATGAATTTCATGCATCGGGCCTCTAGTAGAATTACATAACATTAAATCTAGCCTGGTGAGCTGCTGTTTTAAAATTCACTCATAAAAAGGTGCTGACTAGGCCAGACATTATTATTGTACTTGCTGCCAGGCAGAGTTGTTTTCTTTTTCATTTTTAAAATTGAGATAAAATTTACATTCAGTAAAATTCATCACTTTTGGAATATATGTTGGAGTATCCAGTTTTGACAGAAATGTATAATTTTATGACCACCAGCACAATCAAGATTTAGATTTAACATCCCAAGTCCCTCATGCCTTGACCCTGGTCTGGTGGCTCAGCTGATTGGCACATCATCCCATACATCAGAAGATTGTGGGTTCATTTCCTGGTTGGGATGCATATGGGAGACAACCAATCAATATTTCTCTCTCACATCAATGTTTCTCCCTTCTTTCCCCTCTCTAAAAACCAATAAAAACATATCCTTGGGTGAGGATTAAAAAAAAATCACACAAAACAATCTATGTCCCTTGTGATCAACCCCACTCCCTAACCCCAATTCTTGGTAATCATTATTCCTATAGTTTTGCCTTTGCAAGACAGTATGTCAATGAAATAATACAGCATCTAACCATTTAATCTGGCTTTCTTCATTTAACATAATATATTTGAGATCCAGCCATGTTGTTGCATGAATTGGTTATTTATTCCTATTTACGGATAGATGTTAGTATTCCGATGTATGGACCAACCAGTTATTTTTATTCACTCCTTAGTTTAGGGACACTGGATTGTTTCCTGTTTTTTTGCAATTATGAATAAAAATTCTATAATAATAATTCACAAGGAAGTTTGTGTGTACACATAAGTTTTCATTTTTCTTGAGAAAATACCTAGGAGTGTGATTGCTGGGTCATACAGAAAACAAATGCTTAAATTTTATTTAAAACAAACAAAAACGTGCCAAACTATTTTCCAAACTGACCACACAATTTTACATTCCTATAATCATATACTAATTTTAAACAAGCAGTTTGAGGTGATAAGGACTCTTTCTGAGTCACTGAAAAATTGAGAAAATATTTATAACATTCAAGTATTACCTAACTATAAAGTTTTGCCACTGGTCACAAAATAATTCCAACATTTTCAAAACAAAATTCCCAATCAAAAACAATACTACAGAAAATAAGTCATGCCTAGGTAACAAACGAGAACTTCAAGAAAGAAAACCATATGTTTTTTGTAGTTAAGAAGTAAAGTTCAAATAGTTCACCAAAGAAGGAGAAAGCCAAGTAGAAGAGAAACTGAAACGCTGCGGAACCGCTGACTTCATTCATCTTACATCTCAGGAAAGGCCCGGGCACCTACATGTCAGAGATGCTGTGGCTGCCTCGGGCGTTTCAGGGCACTTCAAGAGAGAGATGTCATCTGCCCGTTTGGGCGCAGTGCACTGTTCGCGACTGGGGAGCCCGGGGCCAAGTGAGGCTTCTGCCAAAGAAGGGAAATCTGTGGAAATGGCACTTAGACAACAGAGTTAAGGCAGGCAGAGACCAAGAAGTATTTCAGAAGGAATCAGATTTGTTAGCTCACAATTATCCATGCATTAAACAAGAAGAGGTAAAAGAAAAAAGGAAAAAAAAAAAAAGGAAGAAAAAGAGAAATAAATATCAAGCAAAGTTTGAATAGCAATTATGCCTTTTCTTCCAATACTGCCGAATTTTCTTATCTACCTTATTTTGTGTGATATAATGTAGGAAATGATATCACTAGTATCATTTTGAAATAAATGATATCACTAGTATCATTTTGGGTAAAAGTTAGGTAAAATATTACTAAGTATCTAATGGTAATACTTTTAATTAGAGAGAAGAGGAGAATTTTTTTGTGTGTAAAATGTGTCAAAATCCCAATTCCCAAATATCACCTAAATATAAAAGATTTAGAAGCATTTGGGTGCTTCTGAGTTCTCCCTGTATTTGTGAATGTGAATTGTAAAAATTAGGTAAGGTTATATTAAGCAATTTTTATACCTTTCAAATTATCCTACTGGCATAATAATATTCTATTTTTAATTAGACATCATTAGCTCATTATATTCATTTATATCTAACTTTAAATTAAGTCTAAGGATCAAGAAATTTTATCATACTCATTTTTACAATAGCTATTAATAAGTAGCTTTTATTAAAAATATTAGGAAATGAAATCAGCTGGAATTATTTTATTTTTACTGGAATTTCATTTATTGAAAATCTAAAATGAGAACATAAAAAAATATTTCATAATAACAAATTTTTATCATTGGATTAGAACACTTTGCATGTTAAATTCATACTTAGGACAGCTGAATGAAGAATGGTGTTTTATCAACAATAAAGAGTAAAAAAAAAAAAACTTTTTCAAAGAAAAGAATGAACTACTATGTTTTAACTGAAAATAGATGACCAATTGAATTACAAAAAGAATGGTGCTTTACACCTTCAAGTAAGTTTTCTTCTGAACATACCAAGATAGGTCATTATTCTTGAAAATGAGATTAATAGTTGATAACTTGACAAATCATAGGGGGGAAAAAAAAAAACCCACAAAAAAAAACAAGAAACAGGAGACCTTATAGGGAACTGACTCAAGGAACCAGAACTAAAATTTTGAGTGTGCTTATTTCATGCCTAACCCCAGGGGAAAATATTTTTATTTCATAATATAAAATCTAGGAAATGGAATCAAAACATCTGTATCCTTTTCATATACAGAATATTATACCAAATTCATTCCTCAACTGTCATAAAAGATCTTTCTCTGTAATTCCATGATATGGAGTAAAGGTAAATACATACCTGGGCTGGGCAGCCCCTCAGGAGTGCTTGCTTCTGAAACATTGTCTATAGGAACTGCAGGTAGAACACAGTAGTAGCACATGTTAGAAACAAGTCACACTCACAAAAGAAACAAGTCCTTAGTAGCTTATCCTAATATATAAAAACCCATGGCCTGTAATATCCACAACAACCAAAGGCTCGACCAACCAGGAGTCAGTGCTGGGTTACCATGGTGACCCAACACTGACTGCCTGGGCTGTGGGAGCCTGGACTCAGCATTGACCTATGGGAGAGAGGCTTCAGAGAGAGAAACAGGGACTGATCCATAGCATTCGTGCAGCTGTTGATCAGCACTTGCCTCTCTCTTTTGCTCTGAGCCTGGCCAGCAGCCACGCCTCTCTTTCTCTCTGACCTCCACTGGGGCTGCTGATTAGCCCCACCTCTCTGATCAGGCCTGTTGATAGGCTCGGAAATTCTGACTGGCATAGAAATTGACCAATCAGAACCAAATCTGGGTGAAGTGAGAGGAGCCAATGGCTACCTAGGAAGTGGAGCTTTTGACACTGACTGGCATAGAAACTGACCAATCAGAATCTAATCTGGGTGAACCTAATCTGCAAAAGCAGAACTTAAGGTGGCAGATGAGGAGGAGTTTTAAGGGCAACAGCTGTTTGGTGTAAGTTTGGTCAGCAAACTGCGACTTGTGAGGCACATGCGGCTCGAGAGCCGTGTTTGCCATTCTGTTGACTAATGAGTTTGTCGACCACTGTCATATACTACACTTTACCTCTTTGCACACAATATGCCACAATTGCCTAAACTTCACAGCTTCCAACTACATGGTAACATTTACTCTAGTGGTCAGCAAACACATTAGTCAACAGAGCAGCAAACCACGGCTCGAGAGCTGCATGTGGCTTGCAAGCCACGGTTTGCTGAACACTGGTATAAGATGTAAGAAAGTGGTACAATTTTTTAATGACAGGTTTGGCAGTATAATGCATATGACTGTCTCTCAGTACAGATATAGGGATTATATATTTTTGTCTGCCAAGAGCATCTTCTCCTGATGAAAAAGGATTCCCCCCTGCCCCATTTAAGCAATCCTATCCTATATAATCTATCTATACTACTAAAAAGGTAACATATTAATTAGATCAGGTTGGTTGGCTATTTTCCAGATGTCTGATTTCCTTTGAGACAAAGCCATGATGGTAGGGGCCGAGGCAGAGGCTGTTAGGGATGATCAGGATGGCAGGGGAAGGCAGTTGGTGGTGAGATCAGGCCATCATGGGAGGGAAGTTGAGGGGGGAAAGGGGAGATCAGGCTGTCAGGAGAGGGAAGTTGGTGGCGAGATCAGGCCAGCAGGGGAGGGAAGTTGGGGGGGTGGGAGATCAGGCTGGCAGGGGAGGACAGTAGGTGGTGAGATAAGGCCAGCAGAGGAGGAAAGTTGGGGGGAGGAGAGATCAGGCTGGCAGGGGAAAGCAGTTGGGGGTGATCAGGCAGGCAGAGGCAGTAAGAGGCGATCAGGCTGGCGGGGGAGGGCCATTGAGGGCAAGATCAGGCAAGCAGGGGAGGGCAGTTGAGGGCAACTAGGTTGGCAGGGGAGGGCATTCGGGGTGAGATCTGACTGGCAGGGGAGGGCAGTTGAGGGCAAGATCAGGTCAGCAGGGGAGAGCAATTGGGGGAGAGATCAGGCTGGCAGAGGAGGGCAGTTAGGGGCAATCAGGAAGGCAGGCAGAGGCAGTTAGAGGCAATCAGGCAGGCAAAGAGGTTAGGGGCAATCAGGCAGGCATTCAGAGGCAGTTAGGGGTGATCAGGCAGGCAGGCAGGTGAACAGTTAGGAGCCAGTGGTCCTAGATTGTGAGAAGGATGTCCCACTGCCGGTTTAGGCCCGATCCCTGTGGCCTAAACCAGCAGTCGGACATCCCCCAAGGGGTCCTCAATTGGAGATGGTGCAGGCTGGGTTTAGGGATCCCCTCCCCATGCACGAATTTCATGCATTCGACCACTAGTTTTTATATGATTCCGAAAGAGACAGCCATTTTACTAACCTACTTAGATTTCCATTCCTACATGTAGTCAATCCTGAATGGCTAGATCTTTCTGAACAGATTTACAAATCATCACATAATCATTAGGATAATGGATGCACAATCCTTTCATTTCACTTTTTCATGTTGCAGATTTTTCAAAGGTAGTTAAGTGAGAATAATTAGGGGCTAAGTGTTATTATTAAAATTAACTAAAAGCCTAAGTTTAAATATTATTGTTAATAAAAAGACATGATTTATAACTTATATCATTTCTACTGTCTATATTAAGCAAAACAGAATACAAATGCAATGCTAATGAGACAAGAAACATTACCAGTCACGTGATTTTCATCACTTCGATGTAGGGGTATCTGGGAGGGTGGGGAAGGTGCCTTTCGCTTTGTCCTTTTCAGAGATGAGTTCCCAATGGATGTGCTACTGAGCTTCAGAGAGCCTGTCCTCACTATGTCTGCTCCACAGGAACTCTGTGGAAAACAAAATGACCAAGCACAATTTCTATTTAGAAATTAATAGTCAACTTTAGGAAGATACCGACTTGACCTCAAGCACATCATATGACAATATGGAACATAAAAGTCACTCATTCAAAAAACTAAAGTGGAGTATTTGCCATGTGCCAAGAGCTGGGCTATGAGATGGATATGTAAAGAAAAATAAAATATCGGTCTTCTCAAGAAACTTACACCAGGATGGGAGACTGATATGCAAACAAAGAATCATAGTGTGGGAGTCCTGAATGATATAGTTAAAAACTAACTCTCAAAGAAGAATCTGGAGAAAAGGTTGGACATAAAATAAGAGCTAAAAAAGGTATGAATATTTGTGCATTAAGGGAGCTGGCTTGATTAATATTTCTCTTTTTAGCATGAATGTATATTGACAAACATTTAAAAAAATCCTGTATGTCTAGCCTATGCAAGATCATTTGAGGTCATAACTCTATGCACAGATAATGCTCATACTCATGTGATTGTCAGCAGACCCTAAGACAATCCTGTCTCCTCTTGCTTTCTCTTTCTTCTTAAAAGAGTTATTCATAGTATTTTTTTGTCTCCAATTTCTCTCCTCCTGCTTGAACCTTTCCAGTCAGATTACCCCAACCTTTGATCCATTAAAATTGTTTCTGTCAAAGTCCTCAATGACCTTCACTACAATTGTCAGTGGTTATTTACTAGAACTAATTTGTTTGACCTATTTAATGACCAACAGCATTAAATAGAGTTGACCACTCTCGTAGAATCCTTTCTCTTATTCATCCTGCTTACCACATTTTTCATTCTCACAGATCTGAACTCTGTTTTCTTTTTTGATTGCTTTTCATCTCAATTCTTGGACACGCATATTCTCTTTAGTATCTGTGCTCACTCTCTTGGTAATCTTCTCTGTCCCTTCAGCTTTATGTATTTTATATATATGTTGATAAGTTCCAAATTTAAGCCTGCATTCTGGGCCTCTATCTCATCTCCACTTAATATCTAAGACCATTTCAAACTTGGCAGGTCTGAAAATGAGATTCTGATAACCCCTCCTCTACCCTCTTCTGTCAAAACTAACCCTGCTCTCATAGTTTTCTTTGTTTCAATAAGGAGCAAGTCATTCTTCCATTTGTTCAGGCCAGTGACTTTGGAGTCACCCTAATCTCCTCTCTCTCATACTTCACATTCATAACATCCTATTGCCTCATCCAGCTCCATGGCTACACACATTATCATCAACAAGTTGCTAATTGGACTCTGCTGCCACATTGCTTTCTTACAGTACTTTCTCAACACAGCAGCAAAAAGATCCTGTTAAAGCATAAGCCAGATTAGGTCACTTTGTTCAAAACCTTCTAATAGTTTCCCAATTGACAGAAAATAGCCAAAGTCCTTGTAATGACTTCTAAGGCAACTGACTGCCTGGCCCCTCGCTCCCTCTAACCACCTCCTTCTATTCTGGAGTCTCACTCCAGGCCAGACACACTAGCCTTCCTGCAGCTCCTCAGTCGTGCCAGAGTGCTCCTGCCTCAGGATGGTTGTGTTTGCTGCTCCTTGTGCCTAGATTACTCTTCTAATAACTTAATGTGTTACTCCCTCATTTTCTTCAGGTCATTTCTCAAATGCCGCCTTTTCAGTGAGTTCTTCATTGACCGCCCCCCTTCACTTCATGCCCCTTTTCCCAGATTGATCTTTATGAATAGCATTTAACAGTTTTCTAACATTTCTATGTACTTGGCTTATTTACCTTGTTTATTGTCTGCTTCCCCTACGGTTGATCATAAGGGCCTATTTTTTTTTTCCCTTTCCTGTTTTGCTTATTGCTTTATATCCAAAACATTGTCTGGCTCATAGAAGTTTCTCAATAAATATTTGTTGAATGAATTGCCATCATGAATGAAATACTGCTTTCTTCATTTGTAAATAAAAGGACTTGATATAGTTGGACTTGGAGAATACTTAAAGTTTGGGTTGTTTCCATATTTATGAGACAATGCAAGTATACCAAAGGGAAGCAAATTAGTTCATAGGATTTTCCCCCTTATTTGTTATGACTTGCTTCACACAGAGAAAAATGTAGCAAATTTTTCTATGTTGTAATGTTGTAATATTTCTGCCAGAGAGGAAAAAGGAAGCCTGACCCCAAAGAGAAAAATGTGAGCTAGTTGTCATCACTGCCAACTGTGTTAGGTCATCTCACAGGAGAAGAAGCAGAGTCAGGTCCAGCAGCAGGCATCTGATGGAACACCACTCTTAGGAAGGTTAGCTCCTCTTAACAAAAGAGGTAGAACAGGGTAGCTCTGGGCTGACCTTACTTGGAGTCTAGCCATTACACTTCTTCCATACCAAGTGATAAATAGCTGTTAGCCACCACTCTCCTCTTCCTCTCCTCTCCCCTCATTACTCTGGTCCCACCTCCAGAACCCTTCAGATCTCTCTATAATAACACAAGAAAAGATTTGAAGCCTCCCACCCAGATTTTGATTCAGAATCACTAAAGCTAAGTCTGATTAAATCTGAGGATCACCTCCATTCCTAGTAGGCACAGAGTAGAACCTCACATACTAATTGGACTTTTAAAATAATTAGGAGAAGGATCTTCGGCAATAAACTAGTTGAGATAAAAAATGTAATGATGGATGGGAAGTATTTAAATATCATTTTAAGTAGAATATTACATTTAAATAAAATTTTTCTTGCTGTTATGTCTCTATGTTCCACAACTTTCATTTGCTATTTATAAAAGTAACTAATTTAACAATCATTGAGAAAAGGACAAAAAATACTCCAAAAACAATGTGGCACTTCATTTTTTAAAATATGTGACCTAAACTTCAAAGGCAGTAGATGTCATTTTCTTACTAATGTAAGACCCTATTAAATTGTGCCATTCCTATCACAGAAGCTTATCAAAGGAATAGAGTAGGTTAGCTATAAATAATTGCTAAATGCATGCAGTAATGGCAGAATTTGATTTGCTTCCTAGCTCTATCCTGAAAACTTGTTTTCCATGTTTTGACTGATTGCTTTCACAAGTTCTATGCTGAAAACTGGTTTTCCCCTTTAGGTCAGATTCCTAATTACTGTCATTTATTGGTCTTTTCTATTACCTGATAAAAGCAGTCACAACATGAATTTCTCAGACAATTGTAACTGTTTGGGAATTAGAGTACTTACATTTTGGTTATAATATAATAAAGCAGACAGCATAGAAATAAAAATAATAACTGGTGTACCAGATAATAATGCAAACTTTTTTCAATAGATGAGTTACACGTATGTTGATATATATGTGATTTGATATGTATGCTATTTTGTTGTATTGACAAGCTTCAAAACATCATATGTCAAATTTTATGAAGATGTTAACATCATAGATATTTTTACACTTAAAGATGTCAAATTTTGTGCCAAAAAAAGGAGCATTATTTTGAAGAAAATTGCTGCTGAAAAGTTATTGTATACTTCGGGAAGCTTATGGTGAACATGCTCCATATTACTTGTGGAAACTGGTTTAAATGCTTTAAGTTATTATTTCAATGTGAAAGACAAAGGACATCCAGGTCAACCAAAAAAGTTTGAAGACCAATAATTACAAGCATTATTGGATGAAGATGATTGTCAAACTAAAAAACAACTTGCAGAAAGATTAAATATTGCTCAGAAAACAATTTCCAATTGTTTACAAGCAATGGGAAAGATTTTAAAGGAAGGAAAATGGGTATCACATCAACTGAACAAAAGACAAATGGAAAAATGAAAAGTCAACAGCAAAATGTTGCTTCAACAGCACGAAAGACTTTTTTTGCATTGAATTGTGACTGGCGATGAAAAGTGGATTTATTTTGAGAATCCTAAATGCACATATCATGGGTTGATCCAGGTCAAACATCCACATCAACTGCAAGGCCAAACCGCTTTGAAAAGAAGATAATGCTCTGTGTTTGGTGGGATTCGAGGTATGGTGTATAATGAGCTTCTAAAAACAGATGAAACCAATAATAATCAATTTGAACCACACTTTGATCGTGAAGTGACCAAAATGGGCCAGAAGACACAGCAAAGTAATTTTGCTTCAGGATGATGCACCATCACATACTTGGAAAATATTAACCCACCCGCCATATTCACCAGACCTTGCTCCTTCAGATTACCACTTATTCTGATTAATGGTACATGCACTTTCTGAGCAGCACTTCAAAACGTACGAAGAAGTGGAAAATTGGGTCTCTGAATGGTCTGCCTCAAAACAAGAAAAGTTCTATTGGGTAAAACAAATTACCTGAAAGATGGAGGAAATATGTAGTTAGCAATGGACATTACTTCGAATAAAGCACTTTTGATATTTCTCTGGAAATTATCGTGTTTTCTTTGATTACAAAATTCGCACTATTACCTGGTTAACAGTTAATCCACGTTATTAATCAGTTAATAATTAATCTGCACCATTAACCAGTTAATAGTTAAGCCACATTATTAACTGGTTAACAGTTAATCCATATTATTAGCCTTCATAATGTGGATTCTGTGATAAAAAAAAACATGGTAATTTCAAGAGAAACATCAAAAGTGCTTTATTCAAAGTAATGTCTATCGCTAGCTACACATTTCCCCCATCTTTAGGTAATTTTTGGATACTGTTCCAATAGAACTTTTCTTGTTTTGAGGCGAACCATTGAGACCCAATTTTCCAGTTCTTCGTACGTTTTGAAGTGCTGCTCAGAAAGTGCATGTGCCATCGATCAGAATAAGTGGTAATCTGAAGGAGCAACACAACAAAATAGCATACATATCAAAACACATACATATCAACATATGTGTAACTCCATCTATTAGAAAAAATATGCATTATTGACTGGTACACCTAGTATATACAAAGACTCACAAATTTTTCTACGTCTATTTACAACTCAAAGACAGAATAAAAATAGATCCACATATTTCATTTATCACCCTAGAGGGTTTAAAATAAGCTAACTTTTTGTGCA